ACAAAAGTCGGCTTAGAAATGAATGCCAGCAAGACTAAAGTAATGACCAACAGCGTTAAAGAACCTATTAAAGTAAGAGGAAATATCATAGACTATGTCGAATATTACATTTATTTAGGAAAACAAGTTTCTTTTAGTAAAACTAATAATGAAGAAGAAGTTGCAAGAAGAATAGCTATTGCGTGGAAGAGATTTTGGTCATTAAAAGAAATTTTAAAAGGTAACTACAGTTTACTTAAGAAAGAAGAAAGTCGTAATGGACACATGTGTGCTTCCAAGTCTATTATACAGCTGCCAAAATTGGACCTTTACAGAAAAAGTTAAACACAAGATAAGAAGCAATCAAAGAGCAATGGAAAGAAGTATTTTAAGGATAAGGAAAGTACAGAAAATAAAAAGCGACAAAATCAGACAGAAAACTAAGATTACCGATGCACTTACACATGCACTGACATTAAAGTGGAGTTGGGCTGGTCACGTATCACGTTACTCTGATAAAAGGTGGACTATCGAATCTATACGATGGAAGGGACCAATGGCGGGGAAAAGAAAGGTAGGAAGACCTATAAAATGGTGGACTGATGAGCTAAAGAAAGTGGCAGGAAAACAATGGATGAAGATTGGCAAAGATAAAAAAGCGTGGAAGGAGCTGGAGGAGGCCTTCACCCAAACAGGGATCCATATCTCGGAACAAATAAAAAAGAATAATCATACTAACAACCTAGAATTAGCAAAAATACTAAAAACAACTAACAACTTTTGAATGTAACTTTTAAGATATGAAATAAATGTGGCTTAATTAAAAAAAAATTATTATTTAAGTCATACGAAGAAACTTTAGAATCAAAAAACAGTATGTCTTGAAACTGTTTTCTCAAATTTTCCTCCATCATATCCAGAGAACGGTTTGAGTAATTCACTTAAAATTTAGCACACGTAGACGCATGGCGTCACCTAGAATAATCAAAGAATTCCGAATATTTAAATTTTTCCTTAACGAAAATATTAAAACAAATCATGAAATTTGATACTTTTTTGCAAAAGTCTGTGAAAACCCAATTTATACATATTTTCAAATGATTCTTGATCACTCGATGCATTTAAGCTTAAAAATTTAAAACCCCGTTGCTTTTTTTCTTTCAGATAATCCAATTAGCCGAAATCGTGGACGAAGCGAGCGTCCTTTTTTTCGAGGAGGTGTGTCTTTGCAGTGTTACAAAATTTACTTTTTTGTTTTACATATTCTTGAAATAGTAATAAATAAACTTTAAAGAACTCTGAGTTCTATCTTTTCATTGGTTGTCAAAAAAATTACAAAAAATGCTTAATAAATACGCTGTCACACGGGGTAACTCCCATAATGCAATATTGTCTCGCGTGTTTTATTATTGGCTTTCGGAGTTCGCTAATTATGTTTGAGAGTATTGATTTTATTTGATGAATAAAAATATCTTAACTTACAAGCCATACGCGTATTCCATTTAAATTATTAATAAATTATTTTTAACCGACTTCCCAAAAAAAGGAGGAGGTTCTCAATTCGTCGGAATCCTTTTTTTTTTTTTTTTATACTATTCAGAATTTGTGCTTGACTACGTTCCACCTGATGGTAAGTGGTAACGCAGTCGTAGATGGTGAGTCGCACTAATTCAGTAGCCACCTATTCACTCTTGCCTTGAAGACACCCATATTATAATCGGTCGGAAACACCGACGCAGGCAGGTTGTTCCAATCCTTAGCCGTACGTATAATAAATGACGTAGCGAAGCGCTTCGTGCGGACGGGTGGAATGTCCACGACATAAGGATGGAGACCAGCCGTTCGTCGGGTTGTCCGATGATGGAAAGGGGATGGGGGAATTAATTCATGTAGTTCCTGCGCACACTCTCCGAAATGTAACCTATAGAATACACAAAGGCTGGCAACCCTACGTCGGTGATCGAGGCTTTGTAGGTTAGCTTTTACCAGCGTAGGGTCACCTATAAGCCTTTGAGCACGCCTCTCAATCGAGTCCAAGGCTGACAGATGGCATTTCGCAGCACCAGCCCATATGTGGCTACAGTATTCCACACACGACCGGACTTGCGCTTTATATAAAACAAGAAGCTGTCCCGGCGTGAAATACTGTCGGACCTTTGCAAGGATGCCAACTTTCCTCGCAGCTACATTAGCCTTAGACTCGATGAACCGCCCGTAGTTCATGTTGGGGCTGATGTCCATCCCTAACAACTGCAGACGTTCTGTGTATTCCAAAGGCACATTCCGGAAAGTAGGAGTCAAGGTGAAAGGACTCCTTTTAGTGGTGAACAGGCACGCCTGTGTTTTGGTGGCATTGAAACTCACAAGATTGGCATCGCCCCAAGTGGAGACTGTCCTGAGTGTGAGATTCAACCGCTCTACCATGGCCTCTCTTTCGGACTGAATTTGATCTCTACTGGCCCGAGGATTCGGCAGGTATCTCTCTACAATAGTGCTGTCGTCTGCGTACCCATAGATACCGGGTATAAGCAGATCGTTGATATGCAGCAGAAACAAGGTTGCAGAGAGGACAGACCCCTGAGGAACTCCTGAGTTGGTCTTTAAGGGTTGTGATGAACAACCATCAACCACAACTCTGAGTGATCGGTCGCTCAGGAAGTCTTTAATCCAGCCGATCAGGCCAGGAGATATGCCATAGGCTGAAAGCTTATTTATAAGGCTAGCGTGCCAGACCCTGTCAAAAGCCTTTGAGACATCGAGGGAGACGGCAATCGCCTCCCCGCTTCTGTCAATAGTTTCGCCAAAGGTGTGGTTGGCATACACTAGAAGGTCCCCAGTCGACCGATTCCGGCGAAACCCATATTGTCGATCACTGAGGAGATCGTTCTGTTCTAGGTATGCCATAAGACGAGTGTTCAATACACGCTCCATAATCTTGCAGAGTATGGAGGTGATTGAGATCGGACGATAATTGGCAGGGTCAGCACGGCTTCCTTTCTTGGGCACTGGTTGCACATTGGCAAGCTTCCAGGATTTAGGCACTATTCCAGTCTTAAGAGAGAGGCGGTACAGACGTGTCAGTATCGGAGACAACTCGGGAGCACATGTTTTAAGGACTATCGCTGGTATACCATCAGGACCACTGGCTTTATTCACATCTAGACGACACAATACTCTTTTAACCTCTTTATTAGTAATCGCAATTTCAGGCATTGATATCCCGCAGTGAGGTAGATGTGGTGGAGTTGCATTGCCAGAGTCTAGACACGAATTTTGGGCAAAAAGAGAGGCAAGCAAAGTCGCCTTTTCCTTTGCCGTATGAGCTAGGGATCCGTCAGATTTTACCAGCGGTGGCAGTGAGGGCCGAGAGAAGTTCGTCTCGACAGCTTTGGTAAGGGACCAAAAAGCTCTGCTGCCAGATGGTTGGGCAGAGAGCTTTGCGCCAAAATGTGTAATTCGGTCAAGACGAGCCTTCTTTAATGTCTTTTTGTGGGACTTGGCGGCTAAGTTAAAGGCTCTCTTCTTGGATCTTACATCCGGAGCTTTGCGGTCTCGAGCATCAACCCAGGCAAGGTAAGCCGATTGCTTACGTTTTTCAGCAAAGGTGCATTCGGCATTAAACCATGGGCGAGCTTTGCCACCAACATCAGAGAACGGGATAAAATATTCCATCGCTTGATGCACCACATCAGTTATAGCATCCGCACAGCTCGACGGATTGGAAGAAGAGAAGCAGACCTGCCGCCAAGGAAAGGATGCAAAAAAATGTCGCATCTCATCCCAATCTGCTGACTTGTATTGCCATACTCGTCTAACGCCAGTAGAATCGTTATCTCGTGGAGAGTAAGACGATACAGTTTTTACCAGACAGTGGTCAGAGCTACCCAATGGGGATGAAACCTGGATGTTATATCTGTCTGGATCAGTTGTCAGCAGAAGGTCCAGACAATTAGCTGAGTGGCCATCTACATCGGGTACCCTCGTCGCTTGTTCAACCAACTGGGAGAGTCCAAGTGATACCGCAAACTTCCACGCTTCTCTCCCAGCATGGTCCGTCTTCTGGTATGGGAACAGCCAATCTTCATAATGGGCGTTAAAGTCCCCCAGAAAGACAAGCTGCGCGGTGGGGTACCGTTGCATAGCCACATCAGCGGCCTCACTGAGATATTCAAACAATCGAGTTGTCTCCTGGTCACCTGTGTGCGATCGGTAGACACAGGAATACAGGATCTTTTCGATTCCTGTATCTACGATAACCCAGATCGTAGAAAATGTGTGGTCTTCAAGGTGGCGGAGGCGCTGGAAACAGAGGTCATTTCGCACGTACAAACAGACCCCGGCCCGTGAGCTAAAATTATGCTCCAACGTGTAGCCGGGATAGTCCAGGTACTCAGCACTCAATGGACATTGAATCTGCGTCTCCGTCAGAAAGAGCATGTGCATCCTTCTTTTATGTATGTTCACTGATTACTCGAAGACGCCTGAACCAATTTGGAATATTTTTTTGTTTCAAAGGGTATACTTCCCAGGTGGTTTCATATAAATTTTATCGAAATTGGTCGAGCGGTTGTTTAAAAAATCAACAATAAATATATTTTTTAAATAAATTGTTTAATCGAATATGTTATTAAAAAACTTTCTTCTTACAAATTACTTGCTTATTATGTCTACACTAAAAATGGAAAAAAAAAACTTAAAAAAACCGATTTCCAGGCACTAAAATATAAAAAATAACTAAACGGAGGTTTTCATTTAGAATAGATACCTAAGATATGAATATGTAATAGGTAAATATGTATTTTACGTATCGAAATATATTAGATTTGCTTTGCATTGACTGGCACCGACTTCGAAAATATCTGATTAGGTATCTATTCTAAATAAAAACCTCCATTTAGTTCTTTTTTACATTTTAGAGAAATCTTTTATTTATTTGTTGTTTTGTTTTTAATAATAATAAAAGCTGTGGGTATATAATATAAATTTTAACAAAATATTTGCTAAAATTTTCAGTTTTTAAAATGTGTAATTATTTTAAATAGTACTTTACAGAACAATGGTACCAATATCTCAAGAGCCCGCCAGGATCAAACCTACCGTAAATGCAAGCGATAGGATTGTTATCTCTGGCGTTGCAGGCTTATATCCTGAATCACGAAATATTAAAGAATTTTCAGAAATTCTTTATAATAAGGTAACAAAATTTTTGCTATTGTCCTTTTTTGACTCTTGGTTATGTTTATCTGTGTATGTAAGACATTAAGTCAGGTCGAAAATATTGAAATGGTCAGTTTTTTTTATTATACATATGTATATCTACTGTACAGTGTGTAACATGACTGATCGGCAAGACTTCTCAGAGCTCAAATCGGCTATCGACGACGTAATCTAGGCTAAGCCTTAAGATCAAATCAATGTATTAAAAACTGTAGATTTTAAAAAGACCTACAGAAAATAGAGATACTATGTGTCTATCTCCTAATATACAATGTTTATCTACTTAAAACATACTTTGGGACTAGTAGTAAGTTGCTAGTTATTTACAATTGTATGATTGATTACCAGTAAGTGTAATGGAGATGTTATCATTTTAAGACTAATCCGGTGAATAAGCAAAAAGGTCGTTGGAATTATGATCATCCTGAGGTAGCGCAATATTTAGGTACATTGTCAGACCTCACAAAATTTGACGCTCAATTCTTCAAAATCACTTATCGTCAAGGACAATTTATGGATGCTATGTCCCGTAAGATTTTGGAACAAACGTATCAAGCCATTTACGATGCTGGTAAGACAGTTTACAGAACCAAATTTTCCGTTACTTTATATTTGATGCGATATTAAAAAACTTAAAAAAACCGACTTCCAGACACTAAAAAGTAAAACAATAACTGAACAGTTGAAGAAAAAGTTAAGTTAAATTTCCTAAAAGAGGAATGTTCACAGATTTCTCGGAGATTACTTAACCGATTTTGCTACTTTAAATGGTGGTGGTCGCCTATTTTTCTTTAACACATAATTTATCGTATACAAGAAAATCCGAAAAAAACATGAAATTTGAACTACATATATTAAAAGATCTAGTCTTTTTTATCTAGTTCCGATTGGCATATCGAGTTGAAACTTTACAATTTTTTTATTTCTTAAGATAATACAGTTATTTGGTATCATCGAGCTTATCTGATGGTGAGGCCAGAAAGTGGATAGTGGAACTTTTCAACGGCTACTAATAAATTCTTTGAGTTTAAGCTAATTTAATTTTCATTTGACAAGCCCAATAAGTTAGAATTCTATTTTAAAGCCTGATTTTAGTGTTATTATTGAAAGTGATTTTTTTTAATTTCTTAGTCCCATAAAATTTAGCAGCACCCAAACATACATAGCCTAATCGAATATGTTATTAAAAACTTTCTTCTTACAAATGCTGCTCATACGTCTACACCAAAAATAGAAAAATTGAAACTTAAAAAAAATTAAAACTGACTTTCAGGCAAGAGTAAAAAATAGCTAACGGCTCTTTCATTTACTATAGATACCTAATAAGATATTTTCGAAGTCGGTGCCAGACGATGTAAATGCAATGCTCTTTAGATATGTATAATATAATAAATACATCACAAATTAATGTATAATAAAAATATTTTAACTACAATTATTGAAGTTCAAATCTAGTCATTTTCCTAGACATTCCTATCTTAAAGCATTGTTGGCTGGCACCGACTAAACGAAAACCGTCGTTCAGTTATTTTTTACTTTTTAATGCCTGAAAGTGGTTTTTTGTTAATGAAGTTGGTTAATAAAAAGTTATTTTATAAATTAACTACTATTATATCTACTTCTTCTTCGAAAACTATTTCTTCTATCTTGTATCGAAACAAAGCACATTTTAATAAGAAAGAAATTTATCTTTATTACAGGTGTTAATCCGGATTTAATATCTGGGAAGAAAATTGGTGTTTACGTTGGTGTCTGTCATTCTGAATCTGAAAAGTCTAATATCTATTGTCCTAGAGTTAAGACCGGTCTTGGTATAACAGGGTAAGTATTTTTAGTCAGTACTTACTATTTAATTGCTGTTTTTTTATGACATCACACCATTTATACAAGCTTTTATTTTTACCTGTCTGGGGTTGTGTATCTGGAATCTTGGAAGTTAAATTTGACCCACTTGCGAGTGCCCGACTGAGCTGAAATTTGGCACACTAGTTTGGTTTCCGATACACTGTACGATTATTTAAATGCCGCCAATTTTTATAAAATATGGTTGACCCTTATGATATGGGCATTAAATGAAAGGGCTTGATAAGCAAAAGCAAATTACGTCATTGTAAATCCAATGTGGTGAACTCCCAAAGATGGCGAACCATGATTTTTTATGCACTCCCATGATATGGATATGAAATGAAAGGGTGTTTTAAGAAGAATATGAATAACTAAAAACCATATTTTATAAAAATATATTTTTAACACTTTTTTTCTTGTTTATCTACACAGGTAAATCTCGCGACAAGCTTTTATATCATATGAACTGTGTAATGTAATAAATTGATAGGTTTGATTTAATTTAAAGTATTTTCTTCTTTTTAGAGCATTTAAATAAAAGCTTGTTTTTAACCGACTTCCCTAAAAAGGAGGAGATTTTCAATTCGTCGGAATCTTTTTTTTCTTTTTTTATGTATGTTCACCGATTACTCGAAGACGCCTGAACCGATTTGGAAATATTTTTTTGTTGCAAAGGGTGGTCCCATATAAATTTTATCGAAATCAGTCGAGCAGTTTTTTTAAAGCAACAAATAAATTATTTTTTTAAACAAGTTGCTTAATCGAACATGTTATTAAAAAACTTCTAACAAATTACCTGCTTATTACGTCTACACTAAAAATGGACAAATAAAAACTTAAAAAAACCGAGTGCCAGGCACTAAAACAAAAAAAATAACTAAACGGAGCTTTTCATTTAGAATAGATACTTAATCAGATATTTTCGAAGTCGGTGCCAGCCTACAATATTTTAAGATATGAATATCTAATAGATAAATATGTATTTTACATATCGAAATATATTAGATTTGCTTTGCATTAGCTGGCACCGACTTCGACAATATCTTAAAAGGCCGTATACAAAATCAAAACGAGCGAAATTAGGCATTTAACGCGCACACACCGCGCATACACTCACGCGCAGTAGCGCTCTGTCGCGTGTGTGCGTAAATCCGAAGACGCCGTCTGGCAATTAACCGTTTTGATGCTTTAATATTTTTTACAATTCTTTTACTTTCACTCTCATGGATTTGTAAAATTCAATATTACCAAGAACTTTATTAACTGACTTCCAAAAAGGAGGAGGTTCTCAATTCGTCGGAATGTTTTTTTATGTATGTTCACTGATTACTCGAAGACGCCTGAACCGATTTGGAAATATTTTTTTATTTTAAAGGGTGTACTTCCCAGGTGGTCTCATAAATTTTATCGGAATCGGTCGAGCGGTTTTAAAAAAAATCAACAATAAATATATTTTTTTAATGAATTGTTTAATCGAATATGTCATTAAGAAACTTTCTTCTTACAAAGTAGCTGCTTATTACGTGTAGAAAAATTTTCAATACAGAAATTTATTAAACCTGGTCCCAAGCGTGGATCCAGGGAGGGAGGTGGGGGGTGTCATAGTGGGTCATGTCCGTCCGTCTGCCCCAAATATACTTTTTTAAGAAGTTTTAAGTTTAAGTAAGGAAGAAATAATACAAAATTATTTTTTTAAGTAAAAAAAAATAAGTATAAATATTCTTGAGCCTGTAACTTTGTTGTTATTGATGATATGAAAAAGTTGACAAATACTTTTTTATAGGATTTTAAACGTACTACAAATTTTCCATTTAACATTTTTCTCTAACTCATACAGTTTAGCTAAAAATGCAAAAACCGTAAATTTGAACTTCAAAGCCATATAACAAATCAAATATTGAAGATAGAAATTCGACTCAATGGAACTTTTTGTAGTAAATTTAAAACTAAAATTCATTCATTTTTTTGAAAAATATTTTCGTCACAGTTTGCAGGACAAAAAAGTGTTAATAATCATATTTTCCATACAATTTGTATGGGAAAACTTAAAGTTCGATGGAAATCCTCTTAGAATTGGAATTTGAGCTCCGTTTTTAACAGGAGCTTTGTTGGGACCTATCCTGGGATATATAGAGTTATTTTTTGGCACACCCTAATATATATACATACATACACACATAGGTCTGATGAGTTATATATCCTTTACTTGAGAAATGATTGATTCCCCATACAAAGTTTCACTCCCCTTTTCACCCCCTTAAGAGATGATTTCCGGGGCAAAAACTATCCTTTGTCCTTCCCAGGGTCTCAAATTATCTCCATACCAAATTTCGTCTAAATCAGCGGATTAAGCGTGAAAAGGTAACAGACAGAGTTACTTTCGCTTTTATATATTTGTATGGATTAAACTGACAGAATAACTTTCGTACTTATATATTAGTATTGATTAAATAGTAGTAGTAGAATACGTAGGTACTCATACTAAAATACATTAAACGAAATTAGATATTTAAATATGATTAATAACCTACACTTTTACTTGTATTAAAAATCTAAATAAAATATTTTTTCACAAAAGTATCACAATTCACTAACTCGTGTCGAGCTATACACGTCACTACACTCAGGTCAGTTACACTAGCACGTGACATCGGACATCGCAGAGCGATACATCCACCCCCTAGAAGCCCTCGGCGCGGTCTGCTGGCTCGATCGAAGCTTGCGTCGAGTAATATGTATTGCGAGATTCAGTCGTTTTAAATGTTTTTTTTTTTGAAAGTATAGCTTTTAACATACAATTTCTTTTTTAAGTAATGAATAGTCCTTGAACTGAAGTTTATTTCTGTAATTTTCTTTTTATGAACGAGTGATCTATGTAGCTAAATATACCAGAAATACTTAGCGCATTTTCTTTAAAATTTGACTGAGTTTAGTATTTATTTACTCAAAAATTTTATATGAAAGTTGTAAAAACTGATTTACACATTGTATAAAATAATTTTAGAACAATGCATTGTAATTTTTTCACATTATTTAGAGGTTAACACAATCCGTAAATGGAAATATCCTAAACCTCTTACAGCAAAAATTCACTATTCAACCACGGGTTTGAGGTCGATAATTCAAAATTAAATACTAAAAATAAAAAAGAACGCCATACATTGGATCATAATTGAAAAGATCGTTCATATTATGTATTGACACTTATAGAAAAATTGCTTTTTAACTGTGAAATAGCGTTCATAAAATCTCGTAAATCAGCGAAGTCGGCAAAATTTCGTCTACGGACTCTTAAGTATCTATTCTAAATGAAAAGCTCCGTTTTGTAATTTTTTACATTTTAGTGCCTGGAAGTCGGTTTTTTATTTTAAAGTTTTTATTAAAAATGTCTTTTCAGAATTAATTTATTTTAACTTTTTAAGTTTGAGCCATCATCATCTTCTAGGTAAAGATTCCTTTTATGTAATATTACAAATAAAATATAGTTAAAATTGTCACTATATGTAAGATTTGCTTGAAAAAACAATTAAATGTACACAGTTACTTAGAATATCTAATATAAATAGGTCGTTCTTGACTTCTTCCTATTCATAACATTCATTAAAACATATCTAATAAAATTAATTATCATTAAGAGTATGTAACTGCAAAAATCTATTTCTATTCTATATCATAGACTTGACGAGACTCATTGATATTGTTAATTTGGAACATTTGTATTTGTAGGACTAATAAAGCTATGTTCGCGAATCGTATTTCATATTGGCTAAATGCGAAGGGACCTTCAATGGCCATCGATGAAGGGTGCTGCAGCTCAATTTGTGCGTTGGAATTAGCTTACCTCGCTATGACTCGCGGTGACTGTGAAATGGCAGTTGTAGCTGGATCTCATCTCTGTCTTCATCCACAAACTACTTTCCACTACGGGAGGTATATATTTGAATTAATTTATTACGAGGTCTTAATTTAAATTTTACAGGCATACTAGCGACTCACTCTCGCTTAGCTCAGGCTCGTCCTATATATACAGGGTTTTTGGTAATACGTCACGATCCCGTTAAAGAGTTATAGTACAGGATATTAGCTATCAATCGACCCTCAAAGTGCGTATGCAAAAGTGTATCGTTTTCTAGTTATTATTATTTTTTCTTTTTTATAGGTAGGAGGGTTTGTGACTTTAAAATTTAATTAAAAAAAGAACAATGTATTTCATAATATATATATATATATATATATATATATATATATATATATATATATATATATATATATATATATATATATATTTAATCTTACTCGTACACATCCTTGTTAATATTAACCAGTAACAAAACAAAAACAATCTTCAAGCATTTTTAAATTAGAGCTCCAAAACTGTACAACTTTTGGATTTTTAATTTTAATTCTTCGAATAACATGCATCTATAAAAATCCCTATGACACTTATCCTGTCGATCATCTTAAAAATATCTATGTATCGTCAGCTATCCACCGGTACATAAAAGTAACAGAAAGAACTATTAAGTCAAGAAAAAATGCCACAACGAAGAGACCAGGTGGAAAATTCTAACAAATGCTATTGTTAAGGAATTAAATCAGGATCAAGATAAAAACGACTTTAATGCACAATAATTAAAGATTCTTTTCAGTAGGGTCAACAGGTAAAAAAGGAGAGATAAACTAGAGCTGTTTGTGCAATGTTGTATTAAAAATACTGAACATTTGAGAACATTTATAAATCTTAAAATAGTAATTATAAAAAATACAATAATGAATAAATTTCTTTTAAAATGAAAATTTAAGTCATAATTGCTAAATACTTTAATTTACTAAAATTTATTTACGTAATATGCGGTAAATATCTTTTTAGATACTGGATAATTTGAGTTACGATTGCTAAAATTAAATTTGTTTTCCATAATATCTTTAAGAAATGATATGAACAACTTATTTTTGCAAATAATAAAGTACGTATTGGGAAAACGTAAAAAAATATATTTTTGTGTGTAAATATTATGTTAGTAAATACATCACAATATTCGGCGTTAAACCCTCGATTCGCAAGTCAACTACAAAATAAATACTCAGACCTTAGAAAATCATTACATCCATCAAATTATTAGTTAGGTATAACTAGAACCAGAGAGTTCGTTTTTTTTTCTTTGAACTCGGGTAAAACCGCTGGTTCTGCTAGTATTCAATAAACCAAAACCCATGAAAATAATATTCGTACTTTTCAGGGTTTTAAGCACATGTCCCGATGGCAAAACAAAATCCTTTGATACAAATGCTGATGGATGCGCAAAATCTGAAGCTATCAATGTAGTTTTCCTTCAAAAAGCAAAAGATGCTTTGAGGTACATATTTGATGAAGCTTAATATAAAAAATAATTAGATACACTACTAATTGTAATTTAATTAATTTTAAGTTGTTATCATATTACAGAATTTATGCAGAGATTGTTAAAGTTAAATGTGAGTTTACCGATTTATGTTTAGATGAAACGGGACCTATATATGGTTTCTACCGTAGTCCCGAAAAAATGTCTAATTTTATAAAAAGATTTTATGATGAAGTAAATGTTTCCCCTAAAGCGGTGGAATATGTTGAAGCTGTTGGTTCAGGTGATATTTATATATTTTATGATATGACAATTTGTTTCTGTTTATATTTTTAATATGTATGTATTATTTATGTATTTTTTATTAACAGCTATTTCTGAAGCCGATAAATCCGAATTAGAAGCTATAAGCGAAATTTTTTGCAAGGATAGAATCAACCCACTCTTGGTGGGAAGTGTGATGTCTAACATTGGATATACTGCAGCAGCTTCGGGGTTGTCAGCTCTTACTAAGGTCTATCTAACTATAGAACTCGTACATTGCATTATACTAAATTACTTAGATTAAATAAATATTAACTAGAGAATCTTTTCATAGTACGGCCGCACACCCGGAGGTCCTGGGTTCGAGTCCCGGGTCGGGCCAAATTTAGTTATTGAATCTTTCTGTATAGTAAGTGTCAATAACAGCCCGGAGTTGGGAAGTTGGCGGTGTTTCACCCCCGTGCCTCGGAGAGCACGTAAAGCCGTCGGTCCTGCGCCTTAACTCTCACCAGGCGTGTCGAGTGGTCGTCCCACCAGAGTATGAGAGTGATAGGAATAGAGAGTGCACTTGTGTCTGCGCGTACACTTGTGCACTATAATATCTCCTGCGCAGTTGGCTAATATCAATGAGATTAGCCGCCGTAGCCGGAATCGGCTAGGAGAACATCATCAATGACTATATTTAGTTTTAATAGATTTATCATAATCCATTCAACAGAAAATGTGGAATAGCCTCAACGAAAACATAGGCCTAAGCGTTGGACGCCATCCTGCATAACTATTGCATTAATTGGTGTTAAGTGATAAGTATTAACTGTATTTTACTATGGCTTTATGTGACCATTATTATTATTGTTGTAAAAATAGGTTATCCTGGGCTATGAAACCGGTAAAATTGCCGCCAATCTTCATTGTGATTCACCTCGACAAGACGTACCGGCTTTACGGGAAGGGAAAATTCGCCTTGTTACTGATCATACAGATTTTGGCCGCTCCTATACAGCTATTAACGGGCTTTCAATTACTGGTGTCAATACACATGTTCTCTTAAATGGATGCTATAAGCCAAAGGTAGGTTTTATAAATTAAATAAAGAAGAATATATGGCTTTTTAATATTGAACAGTTTTTTGGAGTTATACTTATTTTGGCACGTTAAGGGAAAAAAAGATGAGATTGTTTTTTTTACGATGCGACAGATTTAGATTACAATCTGAAGTTAGTCATCTTTTTTGGCGGGTAGACACGAAACAGTTCAGACGCGAATTTAGCTGCTCTAATATAAATACTTTTTAAAATATATTAAATACATACCTATATGTTTTAAAGTGCCAATTCACACCATAATCTTATATATTTTTTAAATCTGTAGTGACCTACCTTACCAATCGTGCGTAAGCTATGCAATGAGGATCATTAATATATTGATATATGACGATACGTTTGGCTCAGTGTAGTGACCCTACTTGCTGTGCCAGGGGTCGCGGGTTCGAGTCCTGCTGGGGGCATTCATTTTGTGATGAGCACGAATGTTTGTAAGTCAGTCATGGGTGTTTATCTATACTATAATAAAACTGTAGAGGTCGAATGTCTGTACATAGAAAAAAAATGCTAAAGACCGAGACAGGGGGATGTAAGAAGATAAATAAAACAAATCCAGATTTTTTCAATTTTTTTTTCTGTCTGTTTGTCTGTTTGTACGGGCTAATTTCTGAATCTATTAGACCGATTTAAATGAAATATTGCATGGTGGTACCTTATCATCCGGGCAGCGCCATAGATACTTTTCATCCCGGAAAATTAAAGAGTTCCCGTGGGATAGTTAAAAAAATATAATAACTTAAACAGCTTAGTACACAACAACTTATGTACCTAATTTAGTAAAATTTTGCACGATGATATATTATATTGCCGGTCAAACAATAGGTTACTTTTCATCCCGGAAAAATAAACGGTTCCCGTGGGATAATCCTGCTTGTGCTTTTAATGAAATAGTGTTTATAATATGTATGTATTTAAAGTGTATATGTGTAGTGTATCAACTATATGGTATCCAAAACACAGGCCTCGTAGCTTAGCATGGAACTAGATGGTGCTGTGTGTTAATGTCCCAACATATTTATTTATTTATTTAACTATTTAGAGTGTCAAGATTTCTCGTTTTCATGGGTAATAAATGTTCCTAATAATTCTACAGTTGTTGTGTAGTTGTAGGTTTTAAAAAGGCCTACAGAAAAGTCCGCAACAGCATGTGTCTATTTTATTTAAAACGTAGCTAGTCGAAAATACGAGTAAATAATACGAATCTTGAACATGACACGTCTGGTTTACCCTACAAGGAAGCTGGTTGTAGATAATTTCTGTAAATTGTTAAAAATATTTCAGGTCCCTTCGCGTTATAAGTCAAATATTCCATACTTGGTGACATTATCAGGAAGACAGGAATCATCTGTGGCAAAAATTATAAATGATCTAAAATCTCGGCCAATAGATCCCGAAGAATTAGCGTTACTGCATAATATTCACGAGGCGAAACTTTCCGGTCACTTGGGTCGTGGTTACGTTATCCTCGGTAATTTGAAGTATTTTAATTCGATAAAAACATTTGCCTTCCTTTAAACAGGATATTTAACTGTCTCATTGATCTCGTAGCGTCGCGTCGGCTCAAGTAAAGTCATTAGGTTTCTTTATCTAGGATTTTTTTGGAGTAGTTCGTAATCGAGAAGGGCTTAACGATCTCGCTGAGGCACGGGGATATATCATTGCACACTTTTCTGTATGAGCATATCTACGACGAGAGAAGAAAGTCATAGCTTTTTCTTCTCTCTTGCTTATATAAGCAAGAGTGTATTAGGTATAAATGTGGGTGTATGTAGATGTAAACATAGAAGTAGAGGTAGACCGATAAAATTATGAATAAACTGCGTAAAAAGGCTGACAGCTTATAGAGGGGAATGAAAGAAGTAAATATATTATGCCAACCCTTCATAGCGTGGGATAATAATATGGAGAAGACGAATTTAAATTTAATGAAACTAGATCCAAGTAAACTAGTGTTCAAATATTCAATTCTTTCACAAAGTGGCAATGTCCAAAATAGGGAAGATGTGAAAAAACAATAAGGAGTTTTATCTTTGTAACTTTTATGACCACATTTTTTTTTTATTAAAACTTAAATATCTTTTAATCTTTTAATAAACGCAGATACGGACGAATCAAATACAACGATTAGCCTATGTGAGAAAATGACTTACTACGATGATACCAAACGGCCACTCTGGTTCGTGTACAGCGGTATGGGCTCGCAATGGTCAGGAATGGGGAAGCAGCTCTTATGTATACCAGCTTTTGCTGCAGCTATAGATAAGTAAATATAAATTTGTTCAAATGTATAAAATAGTATTTTAAATAATTATAATAAAATACTGATTACTGTGAAAACAGTGGTAGCCCAGTGAAAAGGCACTGGTAGCCCAATGGTAACGCGCTCGCTTGAGAAATCGAGTGAAGCGGGTTCAAATCCTGGGTCTTACACCTCTGATAATTTCATGTACGAATCATTTATAACATAATTACCACTTGCCTTACGGTGAAGGATAATATCGTGAGGAAACCTGCATGCGTGAGAGAACCTAGCAAGTTTTCAAAGGACACGAGCTTTTCGCCAACCCACACTTGGCAAGTGTGGTAGACTATGGCCTAATCCTATTCGTATTCAAGAGAAGCCCGTGCCCAGTAGTTGGACGTTAAAAAGGGCTGAAAACATACATATTGATGACTGCTATGATTCAGATGCCATCACTTCGCATCACACATCTAACTCATTTAGTATTCAGCTCAAATTGAAGATGAACCATGGAATTGGTTAATAAGTAGGGAATCATAGACACCTATTCTAATTTCAGGTGTAAGCGTGTTTTAGAACCTCAGGGAATTGACATCATTGATGTGATATGTTCAGAGGATAAAGCTATTTTTGACAATGTTCAGAACTCATTTGTTGGAATTGCTGCTGTGCAAATTGGTCTGACTGATGTTTTAAAAGAATTAGGCATTAAACCTGACAGGATTATTGGTATGTTTTGTATGATTTTTGTATATTATAAATAAAGATTATTTAATATAATAAATTAATAGTAATAACTTTTTTCTGTTTATAATTTTGTTGAAAACAATAATATTTTTTTAAATACAATTTTTTACTAGTTCGTTAAGTTAATTGAGTTACATACATATATCATATCTTTTTCAACACACAAACATTTTTTAGGTCACAGTGTGGGTGAGTTAGGTTGCGCGTATGCAGATGGCTGCTTTACCGCAGAGGAGATGATTTTAGCAGCAAGCAGCCGCGGTCAGGTGTCCTTAGAGACACCTCTCATACATGGAGCCATGGCCGCGGTTGGCCTCGGATATAAACAGGTCCGAAATTCCTCTAATCTATATCATCATCTATACTCCAAAAATATTGTTTTCTTTAAAATGGTGCCTTTACAGAAATTTTATATGAAATTTTATTAAATGAACAATCAATAAAGTATTTTTTACTTTTTGTAGATCGTCAAACTGTGCCCCCCTGAGATCGAGGTGGCTTGCCATAACAGCTCTGAATCTTGTACTATTTCGGGTCCTGCTGAAATGATACACGAATTCGTCAAGGTTTTAGTTAGTAAAGGTGTCTTCGCCAAAGAAGTACCGTGTTCAAATATTGCATATCATTCTCGTTATATTGCTGAAGCGGGTAAGTATATGATTATATAACTTAACATACCAAAAAGATAAAATTTTTGGACATATGAAATTATGTATTTTGTATTAGGTAATATAGAATATGCACTACTATAATAATTAAAATTTATAACATAAGCCTTTATCCATGTAAGCTCAATTAATTAATCAAATCAAGTTATTTTAGAAATTTAAGTAAATAATTGAGAAACTTAAGTTAATAATTTAAAATAACAGGTCCTAGACTTCTTCAAATTTTGAGCAAAGTTATCAAATCCCCAAAACCTCGTAGCAAACGTTGGGTATCTTCTTCAGTGCCTATAAATAGATGGGATGAGCCATTAGCCAAATATTCTTCAGCTGAATACCATACGAATAATTTACTTGTAAGTTTTGTTTTTAATATTCTATATAAACATAAAAATAATATACTGTTAGCGACTGGGCAACAATTATTATACATATATACAGAAAAAGTTCATAGTTTTAAGATTACTAAGTAAATTGCTTAATAAGTTTTATAAATGTTATTAGTTATGTATTATTTAATATTTTTGGTATTCTAATGATATTAAGTGAGAATTGCGTTACAGAGCCCCGTACTCTTTGAGGAGGCATCACGCTTGATTCCGCCTAATGCAGTGTTGATAGAGATTGCGCCGCACGGACTTCTGCAGTCCATTATTAAAAAATCTTTTCCCTCCTGCCACCACGTGCCTCTAACACGTAGAGGATATCCAAACGCTGTGCAATTCTGTCTTCAAGCTGTTGGAGAGTAATTATTATAACTTATAATGTTGATTAGAAATAGTAATATAATATTGATGATGCGAAGTCATCAACTTTGCTACCGAAGTATTGCTCAACTCAAGCTTGTTTTGTGCACTACATCGTAATTTATCTATGCACAGTATTATCGATTATATCAAACGTGTTTTAAATTCACTATTTTATACAAAAATACTTTTGCAGACTCTACATGGATGGTTTCAACCCAAAAATTCAAGCGCTCTATCCTAAAATAGAATTTCCAGTATCTACAGGAACTCGGCCACTCTCGCATCTAGTAGAATGGGCTCATCAGGAAAAATGGTAAGGATTACAAGAATTCAGTTCAAAACACTATAAACATTGCCAATATATGCATGCACCTTTGGTATTGTGCTGAATTATTGGGATTTTTACTATGGTTATTTTTTTCCGAAACTAATGAATATTTTTCTTGGCAACTAGAAAATGGTACTAAAAGTGTAATAAACTAAGTATAACACTATGTATTTATGTTAATCGAACTATTATAATAATGTGAAAGTTTGTTCGTGTGTGTGTTTCTCTTTCATGTTGAAACGGCTTGATGAATTTGGATGGAATTTTATGTACAGATAGACTATAATCTGGCACTTAGACTATAGTTACTTCGGTGCTTAAAATCTATATAGCAAAGCAAGTGTAAATCTTTAAAAACATATTATAGCAATAGAGAACAGGTACCTGATACCTACTACGTATACATATGTTTAATAGATGCTCCCTTTCTGTACTTAGTCTATGAATGCTTGTGTGTATCGAAAAGCAATAGTGATAGTATTTATTACTGTCAAAAGTTTTATAATATTGAGTAGAAATATAGAAATTTGATATTCTAGTGATAATGAAATTGTGAGGTAAATATTCTACATTACATATTTGGATGTTATAACTGAAATAAAACTAGACACTAGGTTGTAAGCATAAGGTAATGTTAAAGATAATAAATTAATAGTAAGTAAATGACCTTTAATATGGCTATATTAATAAAATCGAATGTTATTATAACAGAGGACAAACCTGTTTTTCTAAACCATTGTAATGAAACTCTGGCGTAGCATATTGCTCAGCAGTATACGCTTGCGGAGGTTCATGGCCCCGAGGCTCGAGTGAAGCGAGGGGTAGAAGCTAGTAAGAAATATTTATAGGAAATACAAAAATATATATTTACAGGTCTTTATACTTATTCGCATCTGCACAAAAGAAAATGGCGTCAGCTTGTAAATATGTTATATCAACGCATGACGATGATTACAGCTATTTACGAGGAAATATAATAAGAGGTAAGAGTTAAGAATATTAATATTATTTTTCAAACGATCTTATTTGTTTTCTTCCCCTCTTTTATTAAAGTTTTAATCACTAAGCCAGGATTAAATTGACACATTACATTATTTTTATTCTATTTCTACTATTATGCGTTCTTACAGGATACTCAAAAAATGATGGAAAGGACAGATTTAAATTTAATGTAAATTACGATTCATCACTCCAAAAATTATAGTCTTGCTATTAACTTAGGACATTATAATATCTTCATACACTTAATTATAATCTTTGGTAAAATTGACCAACTTTTATCGCTTTAAATTTTTTTGTCTGTTATGCGAAGCAAATATACGAGTAAGTCTTGAAAATTATAATTTTTAAGTAAATTAATCGTTTTAGGTAAAAATCTCTTTCCATTCGCCGCTGCGTTGGTATTGGTATGGGATACATTTGCAATGACATTGATGGTAGAGAGGAAGAAACTATCCGTTCAATTCCGTGATGTACATTTTCACTCGCAACCATTACTACACGACCAACGACAACTTAGAATTAAAATCAGTTTCCAACGAGGCACTGGACGATTTGAAGTAATTATAATATTATAGCTATCTACTTAATATAAGTATATGTATTAAACCGTCTTACTGATTAACCATCGCCCAGTCCCAACCCCTAAAATTAGAAACTCAAATTATGAACTAAGTTTGGTTATATTTTGAGCCCTCTCCCATTTTATTTGACGACACGTTTGGCTCAGTTTGTAGCGACCCTACTGTGCTGTGCCAGCGGTCGCGGGTTCGAGTCCAGTTGGGAGCATTCATTTGTGTGATCACGAATGTCTGTACTCTAATCATGGGTGTTTATATTTATAATATGTATGTATTTAAAGTTATAATGTGTAGTGTGTCAACTACCTGGCATCCAAAACACAGGCCTCGTAGCTTACCATGGAACTAGATGGTGCTATGTATTAATGTCCCAACAAATTTATATTTATTTATTGGGGCGTCGTAGAATTGCTTACGTTCTCAACCCACCACACCAACTATGGACTTGTTCCTATGGTACACTTTGTTGTTAGAGAAGTATCAGGAGCAATCCGTAAGGACAATTTCCCACTGAGAAACGCCACCTCCCACTTCAATTCTTGGCCGGCTGGATATTAATGAGCAACAAGGTGAATACACATAGGGGTGATCAACTAATACAATTTAACTTCTAAGTGAATAAAGTTATTGGCAATATTAAACTTCGTCCTGCGGGACAGAAAGTAGGGCTGCAGGAAAGAAGAGGTATAGTATAAAAAGTCATTAATAAGGCTGATGTTTTTTCACTATATATAACATACTTTTATCACATTTTACAATTCCATGTACAAAAAAATGATTATAATACATTTCATTTTATAGGTGATGAATGAAAATATTAAAGTTATATCTGGTTATATTACTGCTGAAATAACCAATAACAGAATATTAGAGGTAAATTCTGAATGTCATGACAGTACCCAGCTTTGTTCCAACGATATATATCAATTGCTTCATACACAAGGCTACAATTACACGTAAGTTTTATAAATAGAACTATAATTAATAATTATTATTATTGCCATGTTATATACCAAAGGAACAAACATGGCACATCTCCATAGAAAACCTTGCCTTTTGGAAAGTGCCAAATATAAAATCAAGGAACCAAGATCTATCACCACCATCATTTAATAAATATTGGAACACTGTTAATATACCAATGATTTACATTTAATATGCTTTTCACGTAATATTTTCAGAGATGATTTCCGCAGTATATACAACTCTAATTTTTCTTTAACTGAAGCTCAAATAATATGGCAAAATAATTGGATAACATTTATTGACGGCATGCTTCAACTAAGCGCGCTTAGCTGTAATCATAAGATGATCTGTATGCCAGAAGCTTTCAGCAAACTGACGATCGATGTAGAGAACCATTTCAATAATATATCAAACGCTGATGAACAAAACATTTTGATCGCCAATATATTAAAAACACAAGACTGTATAAAGTAAGCGTTTCATTAGTTTATATTCCACATATCTATGAGCTTTTCATTAATTTATATGAGGATACTTCAACAAAATTTAAGCAATCTTTATAAGAATTAGGTAACCTACATATGCCATTACAAAAACCTTATTGACGCTTGATATTTATATTTAAGATGCGGTGGTGTGATTATAGAACATATAAAATATGAAAATTTGGCACCGTTGAATAAAAACGTCGTTTCCTTAAAAACTAAAAAATTTGTACCTCATTTCCCAACAAACAATTCAGACGTAAGTACTTTTATATTGTGTAAGTAATGTTGAGACCCAAAGTATAGAAAAGAATATTTCAAAATAACTGTATTTTTCATTAAAATTGCTGGAATTAGAGGAATTCTGTAAATATATAACTCACATGCTATTTTATCTGTACAGGAACTAACAGCATCATACATATTTTTACAAATAGCCGCTGAGAATTTAAATAAACAATTCATTAACGTTGTTGAAATCCTGAGAGACGAAACTGCTAAATCTAACTTTGAGGCGATCAGAGGTATTTCTAACAACATCTCTGGAATTAGGACACAACACTCTTTTGTTTACAAAGACAAAATTTTAGAAGATGGTGAAAAGATAAATAGCGCTGACCTATTATTAACCACAAACTTATCTTCTGATAAAAACGTAAGCTTAATTGGTTTATTATTTTATTATAATAGATATAGACTATATTAATTAAGCTATATTCTAATAAATGTATTGACTACTTATAAGGATATTGTTTGAAAAAATATATACATATACTTATTTATACTAATATTTGCTTAAATTATTTCACATAATATGTTCGTATCTCTTCTGCAGATGGATCAAATGCTACAGCGCATATTAAAATGCGATAGTCTTTTGGTTAATAAAGAACTGGACATCGAAGGAAAATTCAACAGATGCCCTTCGATGTTGTATCGCAGTGTAAATGCACATATTATTAATAATTATAACCGTATAGAATTAGCTATATGGAAACCTAAAGATTCTAATGGCTCTAGTGTATACACGGTTCGTTCACCATCAGATTTATCATATGTATCATCTTTGATATCGACTATTCCTTTGAGTCAAAAAGTTTATTTACTAGCCAGTTACCCACTTGTTAAAGGATTGAAATCCCTGATTAAAGAATGGAGAAATGAAAGAAAAGTATATTTGACTATAATACATCAAGATGAATGGGATGATAAACTTTTAAATGAAATACTGTTCAAAGATTTAGTGACCAACATTTACAAAAATGTAAGTTACTTACTATATTAATTGTAAAATTGAATTTTTCGTATAATTTCCGTGACATTTAACTACAATCTCAGTAATACATTAATTATTATAAATATCACCTAGTTTACTAATTGTAAAGTATGATTTGCTTAGAGTGTCTGGGGAGGAGAATATATTTTGCCATTGGAAGAGACCTCCACGCCAAAACATAATATTATGTTGAAATGCGCCCGCGCTGGTGATTTCGACTCGATATATTGGATTGAGGCACCACAAAAATATGATGGCGGTATTAATGTAGATGTAAGTATGTTAATGTAAATGAAAACATATACTGACCTTTAAATTTAGCCATGTTGTCATCTATTTGCCCTTTTAAGCGGATGTGATTTTCGCAAAGAGTTCGTTTAGGTTTACTTGATGATTATATCCGATCGAATAGGAAAAGAAACTGATAAATAGAGCGGTCGTTGCTTTTTTCAGGTTCACTATGCTGGCATTAATCTAGTGTATTTAAAGGAAGAAGCTGGAATCATTAATTCGTACAACACCGATGGACAGCGAGCCTTTAAAGTCGACTTCAGCGGTATAACTGAAACGTATGTAAAGATTTTTCTTTAACATTTTGAAATATTCTAGGTATACTGATCATAAATTAATAATTAAATGCATTTTAAAAATAGGGGAAATCGTGTAATGGGTATAGTTCCTGATCAAGTAATAAGCACACAAGTTAAAGCGCAACCGGAATTATTGTGGCCAGTTCCAGATCACTGGAGTCTTGAAGACGCTGCCACTGTGCCTTTGGCTTACTGTATCGCTTTCTACTGCTTGGTAAGGAATATTTTACATATATTTTTCACCTTTGTATAATTTGTCTTTGTTGGTTAGCTTTTCCTTGTTTCTTGACCCCATCACAAACCCATTACAAAAATATCTTCATTTTTTATACCCTTGCCAAATAATCCCACTAAAGTAAAATGTATTCCTGTGTTCATGTATTTCTGTGTTCTGACATAGCGTAATTTAAATGTGCATATTTATACTATTTTACAGATGATCAAAACCCAGCTTATTCCCGGACGACGTGTACTTATCCATGGCGGTGCCGGCGCTCTAGGTCAGGCTTTAATATCTATTGCCTTAGCTTTCCATTGCAAGGTCTTTGCTACAGTTAACGACATACGCAAGAAACAGTTTCTGCAAAAACTATTTCCTCAACTGCAAGGTAAAAATATATCTGAGAAATTATATTATTTGATATCTCACGCAATATTTAAATATTTACATTTACTTAATTCATAATATTAAATATGTATATCTAATATTATAAAGAATTTTCATACACTCCTCAAGTGCCAAGAAATCTCGATCTGATCTTAGATTTATTTTCATAACATTGTAGATGATCATATCGGAAACTCCTGCGACCACAGCTTCGGAGACATGGTTCTCGGGGCTACCGGAGGTGAGGGTTGTGACATTATCGTAAGCTGCGTCCAGGGAGAACTTAAAAATGTACGTCAATTTTGACTTAGCTTAAAATTAAATTTTACATTGAAATGAAATAAAATTGTGTAATTGTCTCTAGACTACGTTAAAATGCTGTGCCACGTCGGGTATAACTCTCGATACAACACAATTACTGAGCTGTGAAGATTTTAACTTTGGAATGTATAATCTGACGAAATGTCGTTCTTATGCAAGGATCAACTTTTCTACAATCTTTACAAATCCTGAACAACTATTGGTGAGTAAATAGCGTCACATACTTTAAACACGTAAATAATTATCTACTTGTTAAAACCCTTTACCATAACTAAAGTTTTTTTCTATAATTCAAGACTATATTTTATCGTTTACTAATTTAATCTAATTTTTAATTATAATATAATCTTAAAAACCTGGTCTTTATTTATAAAACAGTTTTGATATATTTTTGTGAAATATTTAGGAATTGCAAGCATTGGTCTGTGAGGGTATAGCACGTGGCTACGTTAGACCACTATCACGCCTAACGTTCGTGCCACAAGAGGCTCCGAGAGCTTTCCGAATTCTATTTGCCAGACGCCACCGCGGTCGAGTGTTACTTGATGTACGGCATCATGGCGTAAGCGCTCCAGTTCCAAGGTAAATATTCTATCTTCGGTGATCTCAATTTTTTGTAGTTGAATAATTTTTTTTTTTTTTAATCTGCGTTATTAAACACTGTATGGATTATTGCAATGCAAATTGTAAATGTATGTACAGTTTGCATTGCAATAATCCATATAGTATGTGGCTAATTCGTTCATGGTATAAACTTCAATCAATTGCAATCTATATCCATTTTGACCACGAAATCAGTATACCCTTTTATCGTTTGTGTTCATATATCAACGTGAGACCCCGTTCGTACTTGTCGGGTGTTGGATCCGTATTTTAATTTGATGTCGAAGCATCTGTTGACACTAGTCGGATGTCGGATCCGATGATGCTGGACCCAATTATTGACACTCTATACGAGGCGACTTTACGCTATGGACGTCGATGAAACTTTTGTTGTGATGTATTATTCGAGTAGAAAACAAATAAAAACAGCCAAGAAATGAAGATTTTGGATTCACCCAATCCTGAGGAAGAGATTTACTTTGGGAACATTTCAAACCATAATCACTCAATTGAAGAGTGATGAACAGAAGTTATTTAATTATTGTTACGTTTTTTTTGTGTAAAGACTTCACACACTCTCCATTACGCGACATTATTTTAGTATGTCAATAACTACATTCAACGATCAATTGGCAACTCTGCGTGCGCGCCGTGATTTGTGTTCTGTGTACGTGATCTACGCTAGCCGCGTAGCGACGGGCGGAACAAAAGGAAGCGGGGAGAGGGTTGCCGCGCCCGCCAGGCGACAAATGTGAACAGCTCGTACCTACTCATAAGCGAGCGAGATCCGACTCGATTTTTTATGGAGGTGCGGGGCTGGCAAAACACCCGACAATCCTTGGAGCGGACAAAAACCCGTTGTAGTATAAATGTGAACAACTTCATAGTAGAAAATGTTCAGCCACTAGAGCACCCGACATTTTGTCGTGCCCGACACGCGATAAGTATGAACGGGCCGTAAGTGAAACCAAACAGTGGTCCGCTTACGTTTCTTTCTTTTTAACCGACTTCCAAAAAGGAGGAGGTTCTCAATTCGTCGGAAAGTTTTTTATGTATGTTCACCGATTATTCGAAGACGCCTGTACCGATTTGGAAATATATATTTTTTGTTTCGAAGGGTATACTTCCCATGTGGTGCAATTTAAGTTTTATCAAAATCGGTAGAGCGGTTTTTAAAAAAAAACAATAATTAATTACTTTTTTAAATAAATTCCTTAGTCGAATATTTAATTAAAAACTTTCTTCTTCCAAGTTACCTGCTTATTACGTTTACACTAAAAATGGAAAAATAAAAACTTAAAAAAAACCGACTTCCAGGCATTTAAATGTAAAAAAATTACTACACGGGGGTTTTTATTTAGAATACTCGTAGATACCTAATCAGATATTTTCGTAGTAGGTGCCAGCCGACAATACTTTAAAATATGAATATCTATATCTACGAATATCTAATAGGTAAATATGATTAGGTATGAACTCTAATTATAGTTAAAATACATCAATTTGTGATGTATTTTATGTTTATATTAGATTTGTTTTGCCTAGGCTGGCACCGACTTCACAAATTATCTGATTAGGTATCTATTTTAAACGAAAACCCCTGTTTGGTTAAATGAATCTCATGAATGAATCAAAATGCATCAATGAAAATGAATGAAAATTATGGATATGAAATTATTTTTAAAATTATGATTAACACTGGTTTCTGTAAATTATAACGAACTGATATTTTAATACTTTTTAGTATTACGCGAATATTTAACTTTATAAAAAAACGTATTTTTTTGTATTACCTTTAAGTATTAAAAACTTTTAGAAAAATATTTTTTTTACAAAAAATGATTTGCAGCTTTTCCTTTATAAAATATAGCATGAAGCTATCAAAAAACTGTTTCAGATTAAGATGTGCTTCTGATATGTGTCAAGTGATCCTGTCTAAAAATGAAGAGTTTGGCATTCAGTTAGCGGAGAGGCTTGCAAACCGCGGTGCACGAAACATAAATCTATACTGTGAAAAAATATCTAATATACTGCTATTTAAGCAAAGGTACATATTATACAATAATGACTCCAAGATGATGTGATTCATTTTAAGTTTTAAGTGCTATTGATTCTTGGTTCTTATTTTAAAACTACTTTCATTTATATATCTGCAAATTGTTAGGTTACCGGTTATCAGTGATGTACACACTCATTATTACTAAATATATTCTGTATACAACTTCACAGTATACTTTAATAAAAATTATCTGAATTCAACCGCAACGACGCGACGTGCAGATAGACTCTCTTCCAGTAGATTTCTCTGTAAAAAGAAAATGTAAACGCACGTTTTACTTGGTTGATCTACGTGCGTTCATAAATGGGCAGGTTTTTTATGTATTTTTGTGGGTTTGGTTTTGGAATTCAAATAATAGTCTTTAAGAGAGAGGACAAAGAGTTGGTTTTACCGATAAACTAGATAAAACAGACAGATAGAACAGATTATTTCGATTTGTTTCAGATCTTGGCAAGAAGATGGAGTAAATATCAAGGTATCACAAGAAAATCTAAATCAAGCCAACTTAGTTGATTTGATCAAAGGCAATATTAATAGAGCTATAGAAGGATTATATTTGTATGACATAATTTCTCAAAAGGAAGAAATCGATAAGTCAGAAGAAATAATTTCAAAAGTTAAAAAAATGATTCCAAAGCTAAAGTAAGTTTATCCGAATACAAATATTTGCTCGCTGTTGCGCCATCATGTTGAGCAAGGCAGGGATAAAAATTAGCCTATATCGATCCCGATTATACATTGGGTATAAGTTGATATTCACTTAGGACAAGAACATAACATAAGTATTGTATGGCAATATTGTAAATTAATATTATTTAAAAAAAAAAAACAACTATTGAGTTTCTCGTCGGCTATTCTCAGCAGAACTGCCTTCTGAGTCGGTGGTATATTCCTCACGAACTTACATACTGCTATAAATTAAATTTAAAAATATAAAATTGACGATTCTATTCATAATTGCTTTTTGATTTCATATAATACTTCCTTGTCAATCATTCAAATCTATTCAGCGGTTCAAGTGTGAAAAAGTTACAACAAATATCAACTTACAATGGATCATACTATACCATTGTAATGTTGGTATGGAAATTTTAAATAATCCAACTACCTAAAGATTGAGAACCAACAATTTTGTTTGAGAACTGAATCCAAATCCAATTGAAATCGGTTAACTTTGATAAGACGCAGAAAAAAGACAGAAATACGTTTTACGTTTAAAATATTAATAAAAAATTTAGTTACCATTATTTAAGAATTAGTATATTTCAGACACTTTGCAATAATTAATTCCAACTTCAACATCGATGAGCAGATCGATGTGGGTAGAAGTCGAGAACCATTACTTGTCTGGGTTAACTTGCCGTTATTAGACAAGGTACAGTTATTTGTTTTTAAGAATTCAGAAGTTTTATGTTATAAGATTGAATTTTATTATTTTTATCGCTAATACTTAAAGAAAAAAGTATCAAATTTTGACCATTTCTCTTCCATTAGATTTCGAGAAAACAAAGCATACTTAAACAAATATCTCTCTTCTCTTACAAATCGGAAACTTATTTTTTGCAGCTGGATGAATGGAAAAATAGTTATTCTGCAGATGAATTAATATCATCTTTAACTGCTGTTGATGTTGTGGAAAAAGCGCTGTGTTCTAATCAGTCAGTTGTAATCGCTTCAAAAGTAACACTACCACATGTTCCTTTAATGCAAGCAATTTCCAAAATGGCAGGTAAATTAAAATAATTGATTAAGCATCGAATATTTTTATATCTTTCAATTATCAGACTACTATTATAAATACGAAAGTTGGTATGTATGTATGTGTATGTTTGTTACTCCATGACGCTGAAGTGGATTGAAAAATTAAGTGGACATAAGTACAGGCTATGGACCTAAAGTAAGAACAGAAGACCAAGTCGAGGGTGAATCGTCAATTTGTATATTTAAAACATGTTATAAAACAAAACGTCTTATTTACATAAAATATCCTCTGCTACTTTGTGTCGTAGGACATAACAAAATTACAATTGCTTTAGATTAGATAACATGATCAAATTTTCCACAGTAATATCTTCTAAAATAACTATAGTTCCAAAAGACTATTTAAAAAATCAGCTTTTATGTCGCTATATAAGGTACCATACTATTTTTATAATTCCATGCAAATAAATTGTCCTCCTTAGTTCAGTGGTGGAGAACTCGAGAATCTTAACTAATGGCACTAATACTGTAACTGTTAATTTGCATATTACAATTTATCCACAGGTATTAATATAGAAGATAAGACTCCTGAGAAGAATACATTAAAAGATTTGGGCATAGATTTAGCTAATTTCGAGGCAATACGAGCATATTTGCATTATGAGCACAATATATCTTTGACTAATCAAGATATGTCTTCACTTACTCTAAAAACGTGAGTAGAGTGAATCTATATAAAATAAAGGAATATTATTTATAGTTCATATTATCATATTTGTATTGACCAGTTTACAAACATTTTTATTGCTCTGGTCTGGTCTTTTTATATTTTCCCATAGTGACCCACCAAAAGATTTTTAATCCGTCTAGTACAGGTAGGGAAAATTAAAAGCACATTTGGATGTCCAAATAGGATATGTGTATTAAAGTAAAATAAATAATAATTCAATAATAATATCAGAATTATATTAAATTTTAGTGAAAAGTATGAAGCTATTTGTTATAAACTATGAACTCTAAGTTTGTATGAAAGGTCGTTAACACTTTTCTTAGGTCTGCTTCGACATCCTATCGGTTTCTATATGTATTTTTAAGCATACTGGTGTTGAATACCCTGCTTCACATTTATACATAGGTCGTGACAAAGAGCATTAAACATTTTGTCGCTTGATCTGCTCAAAGTTGGTACTCTCGACGACAACACAACCAAAAGTGTATAAAAGTCGGTTTTCTCTCGAATATAACCTTGAGTACTGTATCACATGTCAATTCAATTAGCGAGTCGATATTTGTATCTGGCAAATCAATTTCGGATTCAAAGTTCACAGAAAATGGGTTTATTAAATTCTTGTTCGGCAATGAACTCATGTTCTGCTCTTTTTAACCGACTTACTACGGTGAAGTGCCTACCCACAATTTATTTTATCAACCGACTTCAAAAAGTAGGAGGTTCTCAATTCGACTGTTTTTTTTTCTTTTTTTTATGTTTGTTACCTCAGAACTTCGTCATTTATTAACCGATTTGGACCATTTTTATTTTGTTTGAAAGGTTATACTTCCAGATTGGTTCCATTTAAATTTCAAAAAAAAATACCACTCCTAAGGGTGGAAAAATAGCTAATAATGAATTTAACCTACTTCTAATTGTCATATTGACTTGAAACTTTGCAAGTGTTTCTATTTCCGTTGATAGTACAGTGGTTCGGTATTGTTGACCTGATCTGATGGTAAAGCCAGAAGGTGGATAGGTGGAACTCTTCAATGGCTAATACGTTAGAATTCTTACTTTGCTACTACTGTCTACACTAAAAAGAGAAAAATAAAAACTTTTTTACAAAAAAATAAAAACCGACTTCAAACAAAAGCACTAAAAAGTAAAAAATACCTGATTGGTAGTTTTCATTTACTATACATACCTAATGAAATATTTTCGAAGTCGGTGTGCTTTGCTTTGTATGGGCTGACACCGATTTCAAAAATATTTGATTAGGTATATATGTATTTAATAGGTAGGCTTTAATTACTTAGCCAAATGTTGATTAAATGATGTTGAATCAATAAATCAAATCAATATAAGTAAAATGACAAACGTAGGTAAAACATTAAAATCATGCACAGAAAGACAATTATTCGTTATACTGGATAATACAAACTGAACGACAACGAGCGGTGGCGGGATGGACAAGTGTGGGCGGTGTTCGAGGTGCGGGGCGAGTAAAACAAAACGGGAAGCGTGAGTCGTGACGACTACCACTCAACAGTGCAATGGCGTGGTGCTTGCGTTGACACAAAAGCAATACATCTCTTGATAATTCACGAGTATGATTATAAACAAGGAGAAACATTGTGATCCAGTATTTTCTTCCTGTCGCCCAGTGCCAAGTCGCGACCCACCGTATAAGAAACTCCGTACTAGATTATTTTCTGATTTCATCGAAATATAGGAATTTGAACCATTTACGGTTTACCATCAATGTCTTGATATTGACAAAAATAACGAAAATACCCTCTAAATACCATCATGTCGCTAAGATTATATTATTGTAGTAGTGTGTAATAATAATTTTAATATAGGTAATACATATTGAAACTGATTCAACATATGCAACTATCCCTTGTTTGCAGGCTTAAAAACTTGGAACGAAACATTATGAAAATCAACTACACCGAAGTTGAGGGACTGAAATCATTATTTTTTAATGTAGACTCTGATGAGATTCAAGCTAGCAGTGACATTGTATTTCTACCAACATTAACTAATACTATTTTGGTAAGCTAAATATAAATATTAAGTATAGCAATTAAATACACTAAAAGCATTTTTTTAATTCGCACTACCTTATTGGTCTAGTAGCTGGCTTATACTTATAAAAATTTTAAGGTTCTTGTTTGTTTTCGGGGACCATGTAAAAGCATTTACAGCGATTAAGGTGTTCTAAGTGACAATAAAACAACCTTCCAGCGTTAATTCAGCAGCATTCCTGTAGATGTAAATTTTTTTCAAAGCGATATAGTTACATATGATAAGGAACATGTAACAATATTATGCTCTATTTAAATTAGTTACTACATCACCTCATTATGTCTTTTGTGGTTTTACAGTCTGATTGTGATTTTGATAAAAGTCAAGCGTATATGTGCATAGTGCCGGGTGTTGAAGGCCACTATGAGCGGTTCCGTGTATTGTGTGAGCGACTCAAACTCCATGCGCTCGTACTGCAGCCTTGTCTGAATAATACTCGAGAAAGTATGGATGACTTAGCTAATAGATATACTCAGGTAGGTGTCTCTTTCTTTTACAAATAGTCTTGAGATAATATCGTTTCAAGTAAAAAACAAAAATGTTTTAATCATTGATTGAGAAATATAAACATACTCGTTCTGCATGATTATGATAATATAGCACTAGAATTTCACACCATTCCTATGCCTTATTTAGAGTGTTTATAATATAATCTCAGTGTAAACATTATTTATTAGGATTAAAATTATTTCAGGTTCTTCTTAAGAAAACAGGTCTTCGTGACAAATTCTTCCTATTAGGCTATGAAAGCGGTGTTTTAATAGCAATAAAAATCGCAGAAATTCTGGAAGCGCATGGTACGACTTATGTTTATATTATAAATATCTTATGACAAAAATATTTGATTTCATGAATTGAGTGACATATATTTTCAGGTATACTTGGAACCATATTTTGTATCGGCGGATCCCCAGATGATATCAAGGCACATTTTCAGCATAAATTAAGCATTTATAAAACTGAAGTAGATCTCCAAAATGCAATTTTACAGCACACAACAAGTCTTATGATGAAAAAAGCTGATGAAAGAATTCATAAAAATCTAGAAACTGCTGCGACATGGGACGAAAAAGTATTAGTTTGTGCGCGCATAATGAAGGAAACTATTCAACACTCCAGTCAATATGCGAAACAAATCATAGAATCTGCGTACGCAAAAGTGTACCAAGTACTTCAGTACGAGCCAGTGCCGGTCGTGCTTCGTTCAAATATAGTTTGCCTTCGTCCTACGACATGTAGAGCAACAAATTTACAGAAGTTTTCTGAACAACCAGTCGTCGAGTATAATCTAAACACACCGCTCGAGTACATGATGCAAGATTTACGCTGCTCCGCTATCATCAACAGACACATCGGCGATGATATTCTACAACAATTTAATAAGAGGAACTTGTGCGAAATGTATGAAAGCTAGGTGTCGAGTAAGTTATAGATTTTAGTCGTCGCTTGAACCACAAAGTCTTCCTTATTATCGATATCGACACGTTATCTTCCTGTTTCATTCGGTGCGTTAGCGATATTTAATCCTGCTGATTGCACTGCAAGGATCCTTTTTCTTTGGTATCTAGAAACGTTATCACTTCCTTACCTTCTTAGACATAATTTTGACTAGTTGCCATCTATCAAATAATTTGTAATACCGAGGAATCTTCTTTACATAAGACATATGTAAATATTATCACATATCCATACTAATATTATAAATGTGAAATTTTGTGAGTATGAATGGATGTTTGTAAATCTTTCACTCCAGAATAGCTGAAGATGAAACTTGGCACAGAGGTGGTTTTTATCCCGGAAAAATGTACGGTTCCCGCGGGATAGATATGTTTTTGTCTAGGGACGAGTTTGTTGTGTAATGAGAGAGTTGTACATATTATATTGATCGAAACTGCTCTATAATCTTCAGCAAACTTATTTACTAATTTAATACTTTCTTAGATTTACGCGAACACTTGACATTTTAAATAAAACTATCTTTTCGGATTTTTTCGCGAATTTATTTTGATTTTTGGTTTCCGACGTTTCGAATGCTTTACAGCAATCATGGTAAAACGATGGTCATGCCATGATTGCTGTAAAGCATTCGAAACGTCGGGAACCTAAAATCAAAATAAATTCGCGAAAAAATCCGAAAAGATAGTTTTATTTAGTCATTTTTATAACTTTCACAAATGTTTCGACACAAAAGCCTAGTTATTTGTAGAAGTTTATGTTGTCTGTAGAACAAGCCGGTTTATCACATCGTGTCTTTTTAAGAGAATACTATGATGGCGTTAAAGTCTATATGACAAAACTGCCATATTCGTAAATTTAATTTCATGCAGAATTAACTGTGCCCTTTCTTTATATATTTTAAAACTATATTTTTAATGTACTTTCTTTTCTTATTTATCTTTCAAAAGATCTGTGCGTGTGTGGCGAATGGAAATAACGGCATAGTGATTTAAGTGTGGTATTGTTAGATACCTATATGTATCAGCTAAAATATGTTATTTTTATTTATTAGAATAGGTACTTATTTATATATACTTACTTATTTATATATATTATATTTGTACATCTAATGTGCAGCTTATAGACGATGACTTCTCACTGTTAATTTGTATCTCTTGCTAAAAACCATTTGTATCCCTTGAGTTATCACCTTTCTAGTTTTCTTAGAAAATAGATGAAAAAGAAAGTACGTATGTATCCATGTATGCATGTATGCATGTATGTATGTACGTATGTATTTATGTATGTATTTAGGATATGCAATTGTGTGTAGTAAGTACACCACCTACCATTTCATATAATTTTCTACTACGCCCTAAGGATGCCTGGAAGAGATCGCTTATAGCGATAAGGCCGCCTCCTGTTCATCATCTATTGTTTATATCTTGTTTTTGTATATTTCTTTGTGGTATACTATAAAGTATCTATCTATCTATTTATCTAAGAATACCTTTGTACTAGTAACCCTGCCTGCGTATTAAACGATTGACTCAATATTTTTAATGGTGGAAAAACTGCAAGAGATGGCTCGAAGATATACAATATATTAAATATATAATACATTTTGTATGGGAATAAATAATGTTTGAAATTTTTAGTGATTTTTAATTTTTATTTCATTTTTCATTATTATTTTAGCTTGTTACCTATTATTTGCACAAGCCGAAGAGGCAAAAATCGACTATAAAGTTTATGATGATTTAAATCGGCAGATTATTGAATTGGACACTTTTCAGGATGTGACTAGCCTACCACACCTTAATCTGACGGTTTCAAGTATTTCTACCTTATCAAAACATTTTTTAAATATTTTAATCGGCTTCCCTAGACGCGCCCCTTTATATAGAAGACTTATATTATGGTGAAAGTACTCAATAGAGTGCAAGGTAACCTCTTATATGTTAATCTGCCGCGCTCGAGTAACTACAGAAAATCCCCTCTTGGGCTCCCCTACTATTATAAGCAGATATTTTCAAAGTCGGTGTGCTTTAATTTGTCCGACTAAAATAAAAAAATTAAAATACGCGTCGAATTAAGAACCTCCTTCTTTTTCGTCGGTTAAAAATGACATAAATAAGTGTATTTTTAGTTTTATTGTACATTTTTATTATTAATATTATTGAAATATTTATAGGAGTTATTAAACATTACTTCGTATTGATAACATTAGTAAAAAAAGAAAAAACCATTTTACTATTTCCCGTTTGTATGTTATGGTGGTAATGATTTCCCTTACAGATTGCCAAAGACATTTTACCTGCAAAATTCCCTCGTCTCTTGGGAGCGATTAAACATGTAAAAGTAAGAATAACAAAGTAACGGAGAAAAGGAGCCAGTTAGCACGTAGCAAGGAATTGCCAAACGTTTGCAGGAATTTAGCGATTTAGTATCGAAGTCTCTGTGGAGGTATTTAGTTCTAGTGTGACATTTTCTTTGGAAATTTTCTTATTGGTATGGTATTTATTAATATAAGATGAATTAAGTTTATTAAAATACTATTTTTTTATATTATAAATTATTTTATAACTATCGTCTAACCCACGCTTTGCTCGAGTGCATCTCTAGGTACGTTTTAAATATAAATACATAGTTGTTGCGAATGTACCTTAGGAGATAGATTCATGACTGCGGACTTTTTTGTAGGCCTTTTTACCCGACTGCAAGGAACGGGTTATGTTTATCGCGCCTATCTTTGTATGTTTGTAATATTCTTTATTCCCTCATATCTTGGAAACCACTCGATGGATTTCTGTAATTAAATATCGTTAGATTCGTCTCATTAGTCCAAGTATTCTTAGATAGGTAACATAAAAAAAATTAAATATGGGGGCTGCTAGATTCCATAATGTGAAAAAGAAAAAAATGAAAATCGACGAACTATATCAAGTAGGGTATCGTTGAATAGGTATTTAAAAATCATTTTTAGGTTTCGTTCATTATTTTTCGTTTTAAATAACAGTTTAGGATATATAATGATTTAAAGTTAGTCAACAACCACTCTCGCTAATTTTTCTACTTAAAAATACTTAAAAAGCTGTAAATAAATAAATATATTGTAAATATAAAAAAACCCGACTGCACAAAAGCTAACTAAAAAGATTAAAACAAGTTCACGAAGGAATATAGTATTATGCAGTCGGAGACATTAATTTATTTATTTAGGTCTAGTGGTCCACAAAACAAATGACAATCAAATACATATAAAATAAGAATAGCTTGCAAAATTAATGCACAAGAGCATTTTTCTAGATGCAGACACAGCATGCATATACAACAAAACTTAATATTACAAAAAACAATATTTAACCTACGTTAACAATGAGGAACGGCTTTTATCCACTAACAATAACGAAAAATCTTTAAAAAAAATGTGAATTACAGCTATTAAACTAAACAATTTGCTTTAATTTTTTACGTAAATAGGCTATAGAGGTATCATTAAAAATATCTAATTTAAAACGAATAATTATGTTATGTACATACGAGTATGTACAGTGTACATCTCGCGACTAGTTACTGTTTTATTATATGTATATTTTTATAGTAAGTAAGTGAGTAAAAAACTCACAAGGATCATCGAGATTCGAATAATTAATTGATAAATAAATCCTCTATTCAAATGGCTATCCAAAAATCGCAAATCTTTTATTAAATAAGTTTTATAAAATAAAGTATTTATACCTATTATTTCTGTTTAATTGAGGCATGGCAATACTAAGTTTTTTTCTTAGTTTTCATAAATATTTCTAATTGTAACTCCAAACCATAATCATTTATAATGAATTAATGGGTTTTGTTTGAAAAGAGCGATTAAAATAATTAAAACTCCCATTATAAGAGGCGTCAGTTCGATCTCAACGGAGACATTAGTGTTTTACTGGTACTAGCCGTGTTGTAACGGCAGATTAAGACACTACAAAGAACAATAATGACTTTACGATACATAAGTCTAAGTTATTATTATATATTTACACTAGCATTGCCCGCGGCGCTGCCCGCGTTCAGAAGACCTGTGTTTTATGTGATGCGGTAACAGACAGACAGACTGACAAAAATTCTAAAAACTATAGATTCGGCCTCTGTATCGATAATAACGTTTATTTTAATAAAAAATTAAAAAAAATACAGATTCGGATTAGTTACAATTTTATTAGGTATATGTATAGATTTACTTTTCTTGTTTGAATTAAATTTCTATTTTTATAAACTTACGTAATACTTACCTTTTAAGTTTTAACTAAACCTAACTTTTATATAACAATTCGGTTTGGTTTTTTTTTTTCAAAAATGCTTTTAATATTTTTTGGTTTGATTTTCACTGTTTTATTTTTCCTCTGACTAAAATTACTCTTTCCCTTTTATATGTATATTCAATCATGCAATATTATTTATGCAATTAGGCATGCACGTTGTCTTCGATTCTATCTATAAAACGTAGTCCTGTAGTCTCAACTTTGCACTTCATTATCCTTTCATCTGCTTTTCAATGCGTTAAAACAGTTTTTATTTATTTCTTCGACTTTCGTAAGGCAACACGCTTGGATAACATTTTTTATAGTAAAGGATGCTGTAAATTCGAATACCTCACGAATTCATTGATTTTATTTACCAAAAAGAAGTTTATTATATACTTCGTCGACGAAATACAAGATACTTATCACTAAGAATTCTCTGTCTTCACATTAAGAAATAGTTCAAAGTTAAAATAAATATAAGGGCGTACCATACTGAAAAACTTTTCTATTTCAGTCCTAAAAATGTTTCACTGCAATGCCACGTACACATTAACGTAACTTGGAAAATTCTTAGGCAAATGTTCGCCTTCTTATTACAATAATAATTATCAAGAGTAGCGTTCAGCCGACTTTTAATTGATCCTCGAGGGCGACTCGCAGATAAAACTTATCAACTTTC